GCGAGACGGGCCGCCTGCGAGCATGATCCCGATGCGAGTGTCCCAGGCTTTGTGTTTGGGGCACCGCACCCACTGGATGGGCGACTGGGATCGCCGCATATGCTTGAGCCCTAACAGCTATACATACAGTACGGTGGCGGGACGTATACACATGTTGGGGCGCCCAATCCAGGATGTGTCCATGTATGGAGTGTGCGCCCAGGGTGGTAGTCGCCTAGGGTGGGTCGCGGGGTGGGTCGCGAGCGGGGCCGCGGGATGGGTAGTGGGGGTGGGTTGCCGATCTAGATTGGCGCGTGTTGTTATTGACGTTGGTGATGTTGTTGGTGATGGTGTTGTTGTTGGCGGTGTGATTGCCATTGTTGGTGGTATTGCTGTGTTTTGTTTGTTTAGGTTGTTTGCTGGTTTGCTTGTATGTGTGTGGGTGTGCGTGGTTGTGTGTTTGTTTGTTTGACTGTGTGGTCGTGTGTTGTGTTGATTGGTTGCGTGTTTGTTTTTTATGTGGTTGATTGTTCATGTGTTTGTGTGTTTGATTGTGTGTTGTTTGTGTTTTGTTTGATTGTTTGTTTGTCTGTGGCCGTCGTCCCGTGTCAGCCGCACACCCAGTGATAACGCAATGCCGTTCGCCCTCCCTACATTATGCTGTGTGCTTGGCATACGAGTGACCACGATCTGTCAGCTATGTATGATAGCGGTTCACGGCTGGACATTCGCACCGTTCGGATTGCCCACATCAATTCCCGAGACCCCCGCAGAGGTCGAAGGGATATTGGAATCTCGCACGGTCCGAGGCATGATGAACAACCACATGTTACCATCCGAAGTGTCGAATGCAGCATCTTGTATCCAGCTCGAACACGGCATCATATGTCTGCACACTTGATGCCGCAATCCGTATCTGCCGCCTATGTCTCTTGGACGATCGTCGGCGGCAGCGAAACAACAAAAGTTAGCTCGACATATTCGAGCAGCGAACTGAACGCGGGATGGGCTGAGCAGACATCGAGCCATCCTCCGAGCGGTCGGGTGACGGGCAAACTCTGCGCACGCATCCAACTGAATGAACTCACACCATCCGAACCACTCATCCCATCTCGTACTCTCACCTCCCATTGTCACGTTTCTCCTCATCACCATCCCCCTCTCCCAGTATCCACTTGTGTGAGTTCCACTGCACGTGGCGCCGCACATCAGCTTAAATCATGTGCGTGGCACAGCGATGGACTGAATCCTGTGCACGGCGCAGCATCTTAAATCATAAAGGAACCGCCAAGCACGGAGCAGCGGATCGGCGACGAGTCAGGAATGACCGTCGGGCTGCTGGCCGACGCTGGCACCCGCCGTGGCGTCGGCGACGGCGGCGCCGCGCTGGGTTGCTGGCGCACGGGCTTCACATCGTCGGCCTCCTTGGCCTCTGTGCCAGTGTCATGGCCATCCGCAGCTGGTTTCTTGGTTGCAGCACTCGGCGTCGACTTCCCACTCGGCCTCTTCATCACCATAACTGCTTGCAATTCTGTAGCATCTTCGGCATCCCGATCGGACTCAGGAGGCCTGCTGGTCGCGTCGTCCTCGCCCTCCTCTTCCTCGTCCTCGTTACCTGGCTCCTCGGGCTCCTCGGACTCCACCTCCTTGTCATCGACATCGGCGACCTCTGCCTGATCAGCATCTCCTGCTGCTGCGTCTGCTGCTGCTGGTCGGCGCATGGCCGCAGGCCGTTTCATCACCATCGTGTGCTTGTGGTTGTCTTTGAGCCATTTCCTCTTGGCGTCCTCCACCGCCTCCTTGTCTGACGTGCCATTCGCGTACAGCTGACCTTGCTGCACCATGAACTCGCTGGCCGCCTGCAGGTCGGAGTAGCCCGTGATCTGTACTCGCTGGGAGTTGTTGTCCCACAGCGTCACCCACTGCTTGCCAGTCTTGTTGTTGTTCACGATCCTCACAACAATCCTGGCGCCGTCCTTCTGGCCCTCCCACAGAACCGTGTTCATCTTCTTCTGCTGCGGCGCCGCTGCCACGTCGGGATCGTCAGCTGCAATGCCTGGCACCATCCATTCCTGGCCGTCGGGCCAGCGCGCGATGATGCCATCTGGCGTGACCGTCGTGGTGCCGTACTCGGGGACAGTCTGGCCAATCTTGATGCGCCATGCAGCCTTGAACGGTGCACTCTCAAGTTTGACAACATATCCCAACCCTGTCCGCCCCAATCCCCACCTCCAAAACAGTCACATGTTCGACTCTGGTAAGTAATGGCAGCGGGTGTTGGTGGTAGCTGCAGCCTCGGGGCGGACGGGGTAGGGAGGGCAGTGTCAAAAACGTAGTGCAGCCTGGCCTTCAGCTCTCTCTCGAAACCTAGCTGGAAGCCTCCCTCCTCGCCGATGGGCTGGAGTTTGGCTGGGTGTGGTGCCATCACGCGGGCCTTCTTGGGACCTGGCGCGACGTCGCCCTGTGGGAGGTACGGCTGGAATGCCACGAGGTGGCTGTAGAGGAGGAGAATGAGGAGGATAATGAGAAGGAATACGAAGGGGAGGAGGAGGAGGATGAGGAACAAACGGAGGAGGAGAAGGAGGAGGAGGATGGGGAGGATAAGGATGCGGAGGACGATGATGAGGCGGAGGAGGAGACGGACACGGACAAGGAGGAGAGAGCAACTTATGCGCTCATCGATCCTCACCGTTTGCGGTGAGACTCGATGAGCTGAGTAAGCGGAGTAAGCGGGGGTCAACATACACCGCAAATCATAACAAATTGATTGTTGTGGTTGGGGATGAGGGTGGTGATCATTATTATGACGGATAGGAGGGTAACGAGTGATGGAAGGGACAATACGGACCTCTGAGAATCATGTGAGGATGACGAGGAGAATACGACTGATGAGGGGTGTCGACGAGAAGACGGAGACAGATTTTGAGGGACGGGGCTGTTTCCAGCCCGCTGTCCTGCTCCTCGTCCCCTGCGAACGCATCCCTGGCCCACTCCGGCACGGGGTCCCTGGGGAGGGCACAACCCCCATCCGCTCATCGAGTCTCACCGCGAACGGTGAGGATCGATGAGCTCAGGAGGTCATCGATCCTCCTCTTCATCTTCATTGTTCTCATCCTCCTCCTCTGCCTCATCCTCCTCATCATCATGATCATCATCAGCAGCATCATCAGCATCATCGTCATCATCATCATCATCATCATCATCATCATCATCATCATCATCATTCCCCCCCTCCGTCTTCCCCTCCTCATACTCTTCTCCTCCTCCTCCTTATCTACCGCCTCCGCCGTCTCCTTATCATCATCGTCACTTTCCTCATCCTTGTACTCTCCTCATCCTCGTCCCTCTTCGTACCTCTCTCTCCCTCTCCTCATGTCATCATCATCCATCTCCTCGCCATCCTCATCTGCGTCCCACATGGCCTCGACAGGGCCTTGTTCGTGTGGCGCAGCATCGCCCTGGCCATTTTGCCAGCGTCGGACGCCCAGTCGTCCGCGGTGGAGGCCAGCTTCCACTTCTCCTCGTTCATCATGGCGATCCTCATCATGACATCCTGCGGGATGGAGGCATGACCAGCTCATCCCTCACTCACATCGTGCTCCATTGGAAGTTCGGTTTCGTGCTTCCATCCCTCCCTGTCCTCCTTTCGTCGCCCTCTTCCTCCTCCTCCTCCTCCTCCTCATCATCATCATCATCAGCATCATCAGCATCATCATCATCATCATCATCATCATCATCATCGTCGTTGTCCTCAGCATCATCCTCTTGCACCTGCTCCTCATCAAAGCCCTCCTCGTTACTCGTTGACCCTGTGAGTTTCTCCCGCATCGCTGTCATCATCGCATTCGCTGACGTCGCCGAACTTCCCTCCCCCATTCATCCTCATCATCCTCATTCCTCCCCCTCGCTTTACTTAATGTTTTTTTTACCACCCCCGATCCTTGGCCGTAGCTTGTGAAACGCCTCCAGCTTTCACCACGGCGCGCGTGTCCAAGATCATGGAGCGCTGCTTGACCAGCTCGTCGCTGTCCATCTCACCATTGAGATCCGTCGTGTACTTCAGCCTCTCAGCATTCCGTCCACTCCTCGATCAACCACCCCCTCGTCGCTCATATTAACATCCTCCTCCCGCCTTCCTCTCATTCATCCCTCCGCTCGTATTCGTTCCATGTCTACTCCTCCTTCATACCTCCATCCTCCTTGTTTGCTCCCCCGATCCCTCGTCCTTGCCTCCTACCCGCCATCCCTTTTTCCTTCTGCTCTGTTCATTCCTCACCCTCCCTCATCATTATTATCACCTCCTTCCCGCACCCTCTGTACTACATCATGTTCCCTCCTCGATCGCAGCCTCGTCGGCGCGTCGATGTGCTTGCTCCATGCCGCAAACAATGCGTCGATCGAACATGTCGACGCTGGGCGCGCCTGCGCGCTAGATCCCTTGGGAGGCATCGTGCCAAAGTGGCTGAAGAGAGAAGCAAGTGAAAGGTTGGGGTCGAGGCAGGGGAGGGGGCATGACACGCCGAGAGTATGATGGGGGCGACGGAACATCAACGAAACACTAGACCAGATGGGGACATGATAACTCAAACCGTGTTCGAACTATAGTTTTGTGACGATAAAGAGGAGCCATGCCGATGAGAGGCGATGGTTGGTGTCGACGCGCTTCACGCACGCTGATGTTCTAGTTGTTGCTATTATGTATGTGATATCTTATGTCGGGACTATTTATATAGGTCGGGACTAAAAAAATAGTCCGGAAGCTATGTTATAGGTCGGGACTAAAAAATAGTCCTTTTGGACCTCTGGGTTCGGCGTGGCTGCGTGGTGGGGCGGCGGGCGCGTGCGGCGCGGCCTTCCAATTTGCTTCCCCAGTCGCAAGTAGCCCCTCCGTTCAGCGTGCCCACGCCTCCTCGCCCGCTTCTCGCCGGCGTCGCTGTCGCGCGGCGGCTAGCCAGCCGCCTGCTCCGGGAGGTGGTTGGCTGCAGCGGCCCGCCGTCGGCCGGGTCAAGGAGGCGCAGGCCATGCGAACAGAAGCGCCGCCCGCGAGCCAAGGCAAGTCCGCGAAGAAGCGGTCTCCCGAAGTTTCCGTCTGAGCAAGGGAGCGGAGGAAGCCCGCGCCCGCGCGCCCGCCGTCCCAGGCCGTCCCGCGCGCCGGCGCGCCGGCGCGCTGGGGCGGCGGGCGCAAGCGGCGCGGTCTTCCGATCAGACTCCGAGGCAAGGGTGGTCGTTCCGCGCCGTGTGCAAGCGCCTCCTCGGCTCCGCCCCCGCCGGCGTCTTTGCTGCGGCGCGGTTAGCCAGCCGCTCGCCGCGGCGCGCGGCTGGCCAACGGCCCGCCGTCGGCAGCGCCGGGGAGGCGACGGGCACCGCGTGCGGGGCGCCCCACCAAGCCGGTAGAGTTCAGCTGGCCCGCGCGTTCCTGGTGGTTGCGAGCCCCCCGGGGCATCGTAACCACCGGGGCGGGCCAGCCAGAATATTCTTTCTGGCACTCTGCCCGCAGCCGCCATATCGTGCTCAAGCGCAGCGCCAGCTACACGGGCGCTGCGAACACCACCGACTCGAACCGCGGGAAGATGTCGAGCACCTTCGCCGACGCGTACGCCGCGCTCCCTGCGGAGGTCCAGGCGTGGGTTACCAACAATGGCCTCACTGACCACGGAACGGTGGCCGACTCCGTCACCCCAGAGTACCTGCGCGACCATGCGGGCGCCACCGTAGTGAAGCCCGTGGACATCATGTTCGTTGAAACCGTCGCGGGCGCGCTGCCCGAGATCGTGAAGAAGGAGTCTGCGGCGTGGGCGAAGACGCTGGGCTTCTACCGGAAGTGCTACGCCGCCAGCACAGAGGCCGCGAACAAGCCTCCCGACCAGGAGGAGGTGGCGCCCATCGAGGCGAAGGATCCGGGCCACGAAGACTATTACGAGCTGATTCCGGATTACCGCGAGAAGCGGCTGAAGGCCCTCTTCGGGGCGAGGCGTCACGACGTCGAGGACGCCCGCTTACCCAGCGCCCGCCTCTGGGGCCGCTACGAGCGCCTGCGCCGCGCCCAGAAGGAGTTCGCCCCCCTGCTTGCGGACAAGGTCCAATCCGAGGAAATCGGCAAGAAGACCGGCCTCGCCAGCTTCCTGGGGCCCGTCCAGAACGGGGCGCTCGCCTGGAGGCTCCCAGCCATACAGGAGGCCCCACCTGACACACTGGAAGACCTCGAGACGTGGGCGTACATCATCGAGAACTTGATCTTTCTCGTAGGGTGGGTCAAGGACATCAAGTCCCTAGACGTCTTCCACCAGAGGTTCTGGGCGAAGGTCCGCAAGAACCGCGCGCCGCGACCGGGGTACCAGAACCTTTCTGTCGCAGAGTACTACGAGGCGTACCTGGTGTGTCAGAACCAGTGGCGCAAGGCGTCGAAGGCCGGGGACACGATCGACGACGCGATCCTCGCGTCCATGCCCCCAGAGAACAGCCACCTCGACGTCGCACTCGCCATGGCGCCGCGTCTCGTCGCGCAGCCCCGGGCACCCACGCTCGGTACCAACGGCGGCGCCCAAGCCGCCCGCGCCGGCATGGCGGGCAGCATCATGACCGCGCCGCCCCTCGCCCTGACAGACGCGGGCCAACCGCCAACCAAGCGCAGGCGCCTCTCGAAAGCACAGCGGCTGCAGAACTGGCTGCAGCAGCTTGCGCCCGCAGGCCCAGAACACCGCGGCGACAAAGGCAAAGCCGCCGGCAAGGGCAAGCCGGCCGGGGCAAGCAAGAAGGGCAAGGGCGCGCGCAAAGGCACCGCGCACGCACACCCCGCGGCGGGCCAGCCCGAGCCGACCAAAGGAGGCGGCAAAGGAGCGTGGTGCGTAAGGCACATCGAAGGGAATTGCCAGCACGGCGACCGCTGCTGGCATCGCCACGAGCGACTAGGGGCTGCAGGCTCCGCGCAACAGGGGCAGCCGGGGCCGAGCACGACAGGCGGCCCTGCGAGCGGCCGCGCCCCGCCGTTTGCCCGCGCACCACGGGCACCGCGCGGCGGCGCGACCGACCCAGCCGCGCCCCCACCGGCAGCATGCCGACAGTTTCACCCCGCCACCGACGACTGGGCTCAAAGCCGTCCACAGCGGGACCCACCGCAGTTTCACACTGGGGCGACCGGCCGGGACCAGCGCCGGAAGCTCAACCCGCGGGCGCGCACCAGCCCGCAGAGCCGCGCCACCGCGGCCGCCACCGCACAGCCCACGAATGGCGACCCAGCTCCACGCCCGCGCACGAGCGCCAGCCCGCCTCAGCACCGCGGCGCGGGCACCCTCGCGTCCTCAGGAGGCACCACCAATGCCCCAGACCAAACGGGCAGCACCTGCAGCGGCATCACCATGGTCGATTATGCAGCGAGGCTCCACGACCCTGCGGCCGAACAAGAATTCGACGCCGTCGACACAAACCAGCTGCCGCCCTACGCGCCGCCGCCCGCCGACCCGCGCAGCCAGCAAAGCGCGCGCAGAGACACCATACCGTGGTACGCCGAGGACACTGTCCCCCCGCCCAGCACCCTGCCGCGCCAGGCAGAGCAGCTAAAGGCTTTACACAGCAGCAGCTGGCGATCTCGCCGAACCAGCACGTGGACATGGCCTGGGACCGGCAACAACGCCAGCCCGCGCCCCAGTGGGCGGAACCGCCCGCCGTGCGCCCGCCAGCGCCCATCCGCAGCGCACTGCTCTGGGCGCGCGACTGCCCCGACTACGAACGCTGGGTAATCGGGCAGGTGCAGTACTGGAGGCGCGCCGAGGCATCCCTGAGCGATGCGACACGCGCCTGGCGCGCTGGCCTCTCACAGCACGTCAAAGACGTGTTGCCGCCAACATACAACGGCCCGCTGCGCAGGGAGCTGCTCCTGGCTTCCGGCCATGGCGACACGGAGGTCATCGCCGACATCATGGCGGGCTTCCGCATGCGGGGCGCCCTCCCAGACACGCGGCTCTACGAGCACACCGACAGCGCAGATCTGCCTGACGCCGCCGAGCTGGACAGCGCTCTCGAGCTGGCACTGGACAACAGAGATGCCGCACTTCGGGAAATGCTCCTGAACACTAAGCGGGAGCCAGACATGGCCGAGGTCCTCCGGGTCACCGAGGCCGAGCGCGCGTCGGGCAAGCTCGATGGGCCCTGGGAAGTATGGCTCGACCACACCGGCCAGGTGCGCTCCACCGTGCCGTTTGCCAGATGGTTACCAACGCGGCGCTTCCCGCGCGTCCAGAACCGCACGGCCACTTCTAACAAGGTCCGGCCCATAGACGACGCCACGGCAAGCGGCCTGAACCTCGCAGCAGCCACCCAGGAGCGCATGAGGATGGCAGGCGTCGCCTCTCTCCTCGACGCGGTCGCGTTCATAGCGGAGGAGTTCCACGAGTGGGGCGATGACGGCGCCCCCCTCATCGCAAAGGGCGACCACGCGCAGGCCTACCGACAATGGCCGGTACATCCAGATGACATTCCACTGCTGGTGTGCTTGGTCTGGGACGACACCGTGGGTCCAGAGGGCGGATTCCGCGCCTTCGCGCACAAGGCGCTCCCCTTCGGGGCCTTCGGAGCAGTCTGGGGGTACACGCGCGTCGCCGCCAGCGTGATTCACCCGCTCCGCCGCATCTTCAGCGTGCCCCAGAACGCGTATGTGGACGATTTCCACCGCGCCTCCCCGGCCAGGTGGGCCGCCCTGCACGAATGGGTGTTCCAGGAGCTGCACGCCATGCTCGGTATCCCGCTCAAGGACGGCAAGAACCAGGGACCAGCGGCCGTGCTGGATCTGCTCGGACTGGACGTCATCTCCACCGGGCACTGGGCGGGACTGCGCCTCACCGTCAAGCGGCGCGACGACCTGGCCGCGGACGTGGACTCCGCGCTCCGCGCGCGCCGCCTCAGCAGGCGCGACGCGGCCCGACTCGGAGGACAGATGGGCTTCGCCACCACGGCAATGTTCGGCCGTATCGGCCGAGTATACGCCTCCAACGCGTCGGCGCACCGAGGCGGCTGGTCCGAACGCCTCGCTGACGCGCTGGCGTGGTGGAAGGCGCTGCTGCGCTGCCCGATATACCGCAGGCGCGTCCACGGCGACCAGCGGCCCGTCGTCCTCGGATGGGTCGACGGGTCATGGGACATGGACACCGGCACGGGGGCCATCGGGGGCATGCTGTTGTCCTCGCAACGCAGCGGCCGCAGCTTCTCGGCGCACATCCCGCAGCACCTGTGCGCGGAGCTGCTGAGGGTCGGCAAGAAGCAGCGAAACACACAGTCCGAGCTGCTCGCCGTACTGGTGCTGCTCCTCACCTGCCCCGACGAGCTCCGCGGGGCCCGGTTGATCCTCTTCGAGGACAACACGCCCGCGCTTGAAAACATCCTCAGCGGCGCCGCCAACGACGATCACAGCAAGGACATCGTCGGAGCGATCTGGCTCCTGCTGGGAGTCCTCGGCGTAGAATTGTGGATCGAATGGGTCGCGTCCGAGAGCAACCCCGCGGGCGCTTTCTCGCGACCTGGAGAACCGGAGAAGCAGGCCGAGGCAGCGGCACTGTCCCGGCGCTACAGCCTCAGTGCGGCAGAGCCGCGTTTCCCCGCCTCGTTCCGCATGGACGCCGGGGCTTGGGCAGCTGCCGTGGCGGCCGCCAAGGAGGACTGGGCGCGCAACGACCGGCGACGCCGTGCCCTGACCGCGCTGCGCTTGGGCTCCGTGGACGCAGGCACCCTCGCGGCGCTCCTGGGCGCGATCGCGTTCGACTCGGATGACAAGCAGGTCACGCTCGGGCGGCTCCGCACCCGCCGCGCCGGCGTCGTGGCTGCCGCGACGCAGTACCACACTGAGCTGCTGCGCCTCTTGTGCGTTGCAGCGCGGCCGCACGCCCGCGCCCACGGCACCACTGCCGTGGCCCTGCGCCAGGGAACGCCGCCGCGAGCACCGCCAGGGGCCGCGCGTTGCAACGCGGCCTGCATCGTTCGAGGAGTTGGCAGCCGAGGCTCTGCGACCATCGACTGGCTGCAGTCCGTGCCCACCCCAGAGACCGCGAAGCTGGACGCGAACGACGTCGTCGTTGGCTTCTACGCGGTCCCCATCGACGGCATAAAGGAGCGGGTCCGCTCTGCCCCGCTGCGCAAGCTCGGCCTGGACGTCGCGCGCGCGGGCCCTACCGCGCTGTCGCGGCTCGCCGACGCGCGCCGCTAGCTGGCGCCCCCCCCCCGGCTGGCTCGCTGGAGCAGCCGCCGCAGCGCCGCGCCTGGCAGGGCCGCGCCGACGCCCAGCACGGCGAGCACCCTGGAGGCGCTAGAGGCTTCATACGGGGGGGGCGTTCGCTGCAACCAACGCAAAGGGGGGTTGTCCCCGTCCCCCGCCGTCCCCGGTTCGCTTGTCTCCGCCCCGGGACCGAGCGGTTGCGGCGCGCGCCCCCCCAACGGCAGAAGCCCGCGACGCGCGGGGCAGGGCGAGTCAGGGGTAGCTAGAGTGTAACGGCCAACACTACAGGTGGCAGGCGGCCCTCGCACTACCTGTGGGGGGGCGGGCCGGCCTGCGTATTTCGGGGACTCGACCATGTGATTCGGTGCCCCGTGGCGTGATTTTGTCGCGGCACCTCCCCCTTGACTTTGCCACTAAAAGATGCGCGCCCCCCTTCCCCTCTCCTCGCTCACCCTCTTTCCGCCTGGACACGTCCAAGGCCGCCGCCGCGGTGCCGCGCCGCGGGGCCTCGAGGCGCGCGGTGGGCATGGGACGCTGCCCGCCCTCCGGGGTGTCGGGCTGGGCCCGTAACCATCGCCGCCCGAGGGCCCGCAGTCGTGGCTCCGCGGGTCGGGGGGGGAGGATGTCTCTGGGCGGCGTGTGCGTCAGGGCCAAGGGGAAGTCAGGGGGTGCGCCGTCAGGTGGACCCCCCTCCACTGCGCCCCCCGCGGCTGGTTTCGCTTGCCCCGGCGTTGGGCTGGGTCGGGCTGGGCACGCGCGGCTGGCCGCGGGGGGCGCGTGGGGGGGGGGTGAGCCTAAACTAACACGACCCGAAAGCCGTCTGTCTCCTAAGCCGCGCCGAGGGCCGCGTGGGGGGGGGGGCCCTTGGAATTTGAGGCCCGCCCGCCCGCACCATTCCAGGGCGGCTTACCCCCCCCTGTTAGCGGCAAACGGTGACAGCAAAGCATCGGGAATTCGCGGAGTCGGACCCCAGGAAGAGCCACCCCAAGTCTACAAGGCCTGGGCGGCCCACCCAAGGCTGGCACCCGGGCGACGCAATCCAGGCCTGGCCTTTCGGCCCGCGTCGGCGGCCGGCAAGCGGGCCGAGCACGTTCTCGGCCCCGCCGGCGGCACGTCGCGGACGGTCCGCGGGCCCGCGGCGCGCCCCAGGCATTTAACCCATGGCGGCCGTGAGTAATCTAAGCTGGCCTTTCGGCCCGCGGGGGCGGCCGGCAGGTGGAACGAGCAGGTCCTCGGCCCCGCCGGCGGCACCTCGCGGATGCTCCGTGGGCCCACGGCGCGCGGTCGGCGGGATACCAGTGCGTCCCGGCCGGCGCGCTGTCGCTGTGCGCATAAATTAACGAGGAGCCAGTGCGCCCTCAGCTGCGCACGCCAAGCAAGGCATGCCGTGCTGCCCCAGGCCAGACGGCCCAGGGCGGCTCGGGCCGGTCATGCAGGGCCAGCGTGCCCGCGCCGGCGGCCGGCTTGTGGACCGGGCACGTCCTTGGTCCCGCCGGCTCTCCGCGCCGAGGGCCAGTGTGTCCCGTGCGACGGTTCAAACACCGCGCGCCCGCCCCGAGGGGGGGCGGGCCGGCCTGTTTATTTCGGGGACTCGACCATGTGATTCGGTGCCCCGTGGCGTGATTGTGTCGTGGCACCTCCCCCTTGACTTTGCCACTAAAAGATGCGCGCCCCCCTTCCCCTCTCCTCGCTCACCCTCTTTCCGCCTGGGCACGTCCAAGGCCGCCGCCGCGGTGCCGCGCCGCGGGGCCTCGAGGCATGCGGTGGGCATGGGACGCTGCCCGCCCTCCGGGGTGTCGGGCTGGGCCCGTAACCATCGCCGCCCGAGGGCCCGCAGTCGTGGCTCCGCGGGTCGGGGGAGGAGGATGTCTCTGGGCGGCGTGTGCGTCAGGGCCAAGGGGAAGTCAGGGGGTGCGCCGTCGATCAGGTGGACCCCCCCTCCACTGCGCCCCCCGCGGCTGGCAGCTGCTGCTCGTGAGGCATCGCCACTGGCCTGGGCGTGAGCAGTGGCAGGCGGCGGATCCCCGTCGAGGCTCCACGGAGGGTTGCCCTGCTCGGGCCACCCCCCGTCGGTCCTGGGGGTCTACAGTCGCACCGAGGCCAGAAGAGCATCTTTCGAGAACATGAGACCCCCCGTCGGCTAAAACAAACAGAATATCCAAGGGTACCCTCCCGAGGATGCACAATAACATGCAACAAACACGAATAAGACTACGGTACCCTCCAAGAACCGACCTCAATCTTATACTGCGGTTCGACTGTACTTAATCTTGTCCGCCGGTCCCATCATCGATTTCCATCCCGAACCCCTCATCATTCCCCTCTACACGGACTGCCTTCACTTCGCTGCCGTCCGCCGCCCGGGTGAGCTGTTCAGGGCAGGCTGCCGCCACGGGCGCAGTATTGTTTGAAGAAGCATTACATTTAGCAGCTGCTACGCGGATGAAGGGGGGTCCTTGTGTGCCTTCTTTTTGTCGCACCGTTTTCAGCTCGAAGCATGGAGGACAGTTTCGTTGCGAAACGGAGATTCCGCTTGAATTTTGGGCCCACAGGGCGATCGTCCTTCGAGGAGTCGCTTCTGGCAGTTCACGAGAACTGCTGTAGGGAAGCATGGGGAGTGGTCTTGGGACTGGAGGGTGACTTGCAGCACCGTTGATACATTTTGGGGCATCCTCTGGTCCTCCTCCTATCCAGCCCCTCGCCCTCCTCTCGCCTCCTCTCCCTTCGCGCCAGCTCCTTTACAGTCAGGGCCCTGAAGAAGGAACCCTTTTGGTTGGGGAGGGGCTCCGCGTTCCTTGAGTGTTTCACAGCTTGTCTCAGGTTTTCCTTATGTTTTTGATCGGAAATCGAAGTTTCACTTATGGAAAAAAGGGGCCTCGTTCCTTATTTAGGGTTCCTTAGGTCAATGCCCTCTCCTTTATCCCACCCCTCGCCCGCCTTCCCCACCATCCGTCGACTCCCAGATCTCGACAGCATCCCCAGGGTGGCCTTTCGCCCTGGGTCGTTTCTCTTGACGGTCTCTTCGGGCCAAACAGAGACGGCCCCCGTGCGCGGAAAGAGTAGAGCTTCGGCCTGGCGTCCTCGGGTCGCCAGGGCTCGGGGCCCTCAGGCATCGGCCCCCAGGGCTTGCCCGGGGGTGCGCTCTTCAGCAGAGTTTCGAGGCCAATTACGTTGTGGCGAAGAGAATTCACCTGGGGGCCAAGAAAGAGCGAGGCATGCCCGAAGATCTCGATCTGTCGTCGGCGGCGGCGTCGTCGTCTGATGTGACGGCGGCGTCGTCGTTGGTGGCGTCGCCGTCGTCTGCGACGGCGGCGGCGGTGACGGCGCCGTCGTCGTCGCAGTCGCAGCAGCAGTCGCAGTCGCCGCCGTCACGGTCGCCGTCGTCGTCGTCGTCGCCGATTGCAAGCAGCCTTCCGCACCGCGCGCCGGGGCCGCGGGCAGGCGTTGCCACACCCGAAGGGTGGCCGTGGCAAGGCGCAGGGGCTGGTGCCCATGACGCAGTTGCCGGGCACGGACTTCATTGAGGCACGCCGGGTGGCACCCATGACAAAAACGACGCCGACGTCGTCGTCGATGTCGGCGTCGTCGTCGCCGCCGCTGCCGCTGGCGCCGTCGTCGTCGTCGTCGTTCCAGACGTGTGTTCTGCGTTCCTGGGGTTTCTCGTCGCCACAGCTGTGCGCAGCTCGCAGAAACCGGCCAGGGTGGACCCCAAGAGGGGTTCAGGGATTGACGGTGAGCCGGCTTTCGCGGGGTTCGACATGAAGAAGTCTAGAGTCGAGGGTCGAAGTAGCTAGGTATGTTTTGTAATCTGGTGGCCTGCAGGGGGCTCCTGGTACCACGGCTTGATCCGCCTCAAGTTCCTGGGCAAAACGCATCCCAAAAGAGATCAAAGGGCCGATGTGTTCAGAGACGCCAAGAAAGAAGAGAGGTCCTTGCCCTCGTCGAGGAGGGGTGCCTGAGGAGGAGGGTAAGTAGGAGGCGAGGCGGTATGAAGGAGGAGGATGAGCGTTTGGAGCACTTGCGCAGCACAGCGTGCAGGGAAACAGAGAGAAGGAGGAGGGAGGGTGAGGCGTCAGCCAGCCGACGGATGCAAATCACGGCTGGCCGACGCCTGATCTTTAACCACCGAATCCTCGCGTTCCCAACCAGCAGGGCCGTCTCAGGTGGCCTTGCATAGCTGGGAAACTTACCTTGGGCGATGCGGGCCATGTTCGCGCGACCCTCCTTAGAGGTGTTGGAACAGCCAGCTGCAAACTGGCGCCCGTCAACAGAGGCCGCAACAGTGGCAAACATAAATGCTGAAATGGAACCAGAACCCGAGGCAGTGGGAATCACACAGGGTAAGGCCGCAGACAACCACGGGCCCAGGAACCGAAAGAGCACGATCCTTGGGCCACTTCTGGGCCGCGTCGGGCAAACAGTGCGTCGCACTGAATTCTAGGAGTATGCCCCAGGTCGAAAAACAGCCGCACCTGAAGCGACGATAATGTTTCCCACACCTCGAGATGCAGTGGGCACTAGAACGAGAAGCCCTGTCTCTCTTGGTGCCAAAGCCCGAGCATGTTCTTGGCGTGGAGTGCAAATGGTGAAACCTGAAGTGCCGTGTCGATGGGCTTCTGAAGCCTGAACTTGCAGAAGGAGAACCGCAAGACGGCCTGATGTTCGAGGTGCAAAAGCCCATGTGGAGTTCACCCTGAGCCCTCCACCCTAAGAAAATGCCCAGGAGGCGGGACTTCTCAGGGGCCAGAAGTCAGGATGAGAAAAAAAAACATACAGACACAATGAATCGTCGATTCCGCAGAACATATGGGAACAGATGGGCAGTGGGGAGGAAGACCCAAACCCAGAAAATATTGGAAAATATGGGGAATATGTTTAGTGTGTGTGTGTGTGTGTGTGTGTGTGTGTGTGTGTGTGTGTGTGTGTGTGTGTGTGTGTGTGTGTGTGTGTGTGTGTGTGTGTGTGTGTGTGTGTGTGTGTGGTGTGTGTGTGTGTGTGTCTGTGTGTCTGTGTCTCTGTGTGTGTGTCGGTGTGTGTGTGTGTCTGTGTGTGTGTGTGTGTCTGTGAGTGTGTGTCTGTGTGTGTGTGTGTCTCTGTGTGTGTGTCGGTGTGTGTGTGTGTGTCTGTGTGTGTG